CCAGAAGAAACGAAATCACAGATATTATACAAAGGGAAATAAGATATATGTTAAAACAATGAGAGTATAGAAGTACATGTTGAATAAAAAACGAAATATTTTGTGAACTGAAGCTTTTATTAAGTATCATTCAATATTTGTTAAAAAGAAGATGACGAGGAACAAGATAATTAAATCTTTTTCACGAAGAATAAAAAAAACAACAACAACAATGCCTTTGGATCAGATAAAAGATCCAACATGACATTTTAAATTAAGAGTTTCAAGACAAACACTAAAGTAATTGAAGTGATGAGGGAGCAACGAATTAGTTGAAAGATTATGAATTTTTCGACGTTCGGCTTAAGTAGTAATAGCAATGACAGCATTCCTTAACCCTGTTACGGCAACGTGACGCTACTGGCGCATTGGCGCTGGTGGCGTGTGCGAGGAGTTTCTCGAATGATCGTGAATCTCCTAGTTTGTTCGGGCTTCCCTCTTTTTAGCATATAAACCTGGCAAATAAAAGAAGAGATAGCGATGCAGATATATTGAAAATAGAGATAATTGACTCAAGCGAACAGTAGGCACCGTGAGTAAAGTGTGTGAATCACTGTGATTTATAGAGTGTGTTATAAAGTTTTTTAAGTTTAAAGTGACTGTGGAAATTCTGTGTATTACAAAGTTGTATCGAGAAAGAATAAACTAGTTTTGATTAAGAAAGGACTTGTATTGTTGAAGTTCCTCAGAAAGAATTTATACCGAAAATTAACAAACGACCAGATAGGTAACAACCCCTTACCTAAGGGGGGGGGGCATTTTGTCTTATCATAAGGGCAAAATCACATTTTAAATTCAAAAAATTATAGAGAAATTATTTTTTTATTGGATTTCAGATTATATTTTTGTAAATAGTAACATGACATTCAATTATTTGTACAAGATTGTATTATTTAATTAAGTTTAGAAAGAAATTTAATAAAAACAAATCCCAAATACGTTTGAGACTATAAATAAGCGCCTTCTAAGAAGAAAATTGTTTTCAACATTTAAAAAGAAATTCCTTGCCTTTAGCGCTGGTCCTGTTATCTATGATTGATATCTAAACCTTTTTCTTGTCTGTTTTCTTTATAAAACAGCGTTTGGGCGTGTTAAACCTCAGTTGTAAAACTTTTAACCAATCCTAGTGGAAGGTTTCAATTTCTGTACCATGTTATTCCAATTGTTGTATTTTACGTTTGACAAATCATAGGATGATAAGCAAAGCACATGACGAAACGTTGTTCTCTGGATTCTACAATACGAATGGGAAGGGTGCGTGTTATAGTAACTGCCATTTTATATAGAGGTTGTATTTAGTATTGGTCAATAGTATTTTTTCAAACACCGCTTAGAAAATTTGCATCTGGAAAAAACTGCATGGGATGTATGTGACTTTTACTATTTTTATATAGTAGCTTAAGTCATGCTGTATCGTTTGTCTATTTATATTAATCATTATGTTGAAAAATTAACTCAAAATAGACATATTTTTAGGAAAGAAGTTGATCCACGAATGTTAGGGTTAAGATCTATCGAGTGGCGAGGGCATAGTCGTTATGTGAATCAGGCTTAGCACTTTGAACTGAATGAGTTTGTGATTTTTATATTCTTTTGCATTTAAATTATTAGTTTTAAGTTCAATAATTTAGTGTAATTTTATATTTAGTTCATAATAAAAATATAATTCAGTATTTAGAATGATTATTTGTTTGAAGATAAGCACAAAGCTACACAATGGGCTATCTGTGCTCTGCCCACCACGGGTATCGAAACCCAGTTTCTAGCGTTGTAAGTCTGCAGATATACCGCTGTGCCACTGGGCGGCATTTAGAATGATAAACTTGTGTGATTTGTACGTACTACTACTACTACTACTAGTACCAGTACCACGTAAGAATTATATATTTTTTCTTATTACTACCTTTACTTTTTACTTGTAGTAAGACCCACACTTCTGTTGTTGTTGCTTTAGAATTAAAACAGTCTAATTAATATATAAAAAGCTTATTCTGATATTTTGCAAATGGTTTAAAACTCAGTGTACAAGTGACAACAATAAAGCCCATATGTTGGTTGTGAAACAGACTAAACACTTTCGTTTCAATAATACAGGGGAAGCTATGACATTCTCACAGTTGGGGTGTTAATACACTGAAGAGCTTAAGTTTCGAATTCCAACATAATGTTGCCTATAATGAGAGGATTATGACCAGGACTAATCTTTTAAGTGCTGTAAATTAACTTTCTTTATAATTTATGGTGTCTGTATCGTTTGGTAATCTCTTGTAACAGGATGTATCAAATAACTAGGGTCAGGTGGTGTTATTCAAACCACCTATACTGTAAACTATTACATACATTCGCTAGTAGTGGCAGTTAGTTTTGTCTGTATAGTGAAACAACATACAAGGATATATGTTGAAATAAACTTGTTTGAAAGTTCAAAGAAATGATATTCAAGTACCAAAAAGCTTTCTTACTATCATATATACAGTAATGTTCAAATGCGCCTGTGCTGGACTGAACGAGAGTGACCACCAACAGGCATGATAGTTTACGGCAAAGTACGAAGTTCACGCTGGTGACCTCACGGTTTTCTCGGCACAATAAACATATTTACGGCTGCAATGAAACATAAATTTGAAATATAAATGCATTTATGAAACAAAATTAAAATGTTTTTATGTACATAATAAACATGAAATCCTAGTTAAAAAAATACCCGTTTATTGTTTAGTTTTACTTAGAAATATTATTTTCTGGTCTTGTATATTGTTTGAATTTGAAACCATAAGGGGAGTATGCAATTATAAAAAATATAAAAAATAAACAAAATTTTGTATTTTGTGGACGATAAAAAGTTTTCAGAGATTTTAAAATAATATACTAAAACATAAAAAGTAATAAGTTTAAATTTGGAACTAATATAAATATTGTAATCATTTCTTATAAATACGA